CCATTTCCTATCTGTGGCTCAGAGAGACACCATGTTACCCTGATGCTGAACATGCAGACTCTTTGGGGAACTTAAGAATGCACTAAGCAAGGATCCAGCCTGCTGTTCTGGGATTGCCCCCATTTATCTGTATGTCTCTACCATATACTCCCACCCCTGGGATTCATCTCCTTTCCCCCTAAAGCGCAGGGGCAGGAAAAGCAAAGACATTTAAATCAGATTTCATGCTAATCAAGTTCTTATTCCCCAGGCTCCTCCTCCATGCACCAGAATGTCTTTTCTTTTCCTGGGCAGTAGAGGCTTTCTTTATGTTATACCTTTACCTCTTCTACTCTCAGGTTAATTTTTTAAAATTTTATACAACAAACTTCTAGGTTTGTATCCTTATAAATTCCACTCTGTATTCCAATTTTCCAGATGTGGATATATATACATATGTGTGTGTGTGTGTGTGTGTGTATATATATGTGTGTGTGTGTGTGTGTGTGTGTATATATATAAAGGCCAGTTTGGTAGTTTGAAAAAATCCTTTTATCTCAACACAGCTTGAATGTTACAACTTAAAAGCATATGTTTTCAAATAATTGTCTTGCTATTGACCTTTAAAACTATTTTTTAAACTAAAAGGTAAATGTGAATGCTTTTTTTCCATTTTTCCATTTTTTGTTTGTTTGTTTGTTTGTTTCTGAGACAGAGTCTTGTTCTGTTGCCCAGACTGGAGTGCAGTGGTGCGATCTCGGCTCACTGCAACCTCCGCCTCCTGGGTTCAAGAGATTCTCTTGCCTCAGCCTCCTGGGTAGCTGGGACTACAGGCGCATGCCATCATGCCCAGCTAAATTCTTGTATTTTTAGTTGAGACAGGGTTTCACCGTGTTAGCCAGGATGGTCTCGATTTCCTGACCTCATGATCCGCCAGCCTCAGTCTCCCAAAGTGGTGGGATTACAGGCATGAGCCACCGCACCCGGCCGTGAATACTTTTTTCCCCACTGAATCCGCTCTCCCCCAATACGCCCCAAAATTGACCTTATAGGATAGTCTCAATCAGAAGGTTGTGAATGGGAAATATGAAGGGAAGTGGATAAAGGAGACGAATTACAAAGAAGGGAACTTATGTTGTATACTAACATGATTAAAATGATTATTGAATGTTTACTATGTGCAATGCAATATGACAGATGTTCTCTATATATTGCCTCATGTCAACTTTTATTTTTTTACTTTAAAAATACAATGAGCTCCAATAAAGCTGCTGCCCATCCCAAGACCTAAAACATTACTATACCTTATAACTTCCTATAGACTCCTAACCTACCCCATTCCCTGCCTGCCTCATTCTAGAAGTAATCATATTCAATTTTGTTTAATTTACTTGTGTTTTAATAGTTTTATAGGCCGGGCATGGTGGCTCATGCCTGTAATCCCAGCACTTTGGGAGGCCGAGGTGGGCAGATCACTTAAGGTCAGGGGTTTGAAACCAGCCTGGGCAATATGGCAGAACCTTGTCTCTACTAAGTGTACCAAAAAAATTAGCTGGGCATGGTGGCACGTGCCTGAAATCCCAGCTATTCAGGAGGCTGAGACAGGAGAATCACTTGAACCCAGGAGGTGCAGGTTGCAGTGCGCCATGATCGCGCCTCTGCACTCCATCCTGGGAGACAGAGTGAGATTCCATCTCAAAAAGTAAATAAATAAATAATAACAATAATAGTTTTATAAAAATATATATACACAACTATAATGTAGTCTCATTATACATTTCTATATAAATATATTATATATTATAGATTATATATCATATATGACATATATTTACCTAGATAATGTATCATTAGTTTTATCTGTTCTTAAACTTTGCAAAAAGTATACCATATATTATGTTTACTTCTGGAACTCGCATTTCTCACTCAACATTTTACCAAAATTCATTCATTTTGTCTGTAATGTATTCACCATCAATGCTGTATAATATCCAAACTTGTAACTAACGCATTTACCCATTGTCCTATCAATGGGAATTTGGGCTGTTTTCAGGGTTTTCGCCATTATGAACAACAGTATTATGGAAAGTCTTGGACTACAAATATTGAAAATTTCTCTTATGTATAGACCTAGAAATCAATTGCAAGATCAGAGGGTAGGTGAATGTTAAAATTTACAAGATAATGTTAAATGTTTTCCAGAGTAGTTCTGCCAATTTACATTTCCACCAGCAATATGAGGAAATTCCATTGATCTATGTCTACTCCATGCTTTTGTCAAGCTCATTCATATTTTTGCCCCAAATCATATCTCATTGTCATTTTGATCTTCTCTTCCCTGGTTGTTAACGAAGTTGAGCATCCCTTTGTATATTTATAAGCCCTATGGGTTTTCTGTTCTGTAAAATGTTTGTTCATGCCATTTGCCTATTTTTCTATTTAATTGCTGGCTTCTTTTTCCTTACTGATTTGTCACCTAACAGTATTGCAAATATTCACCAGTTGCGATGTGTCTTTTCACTTTCTTTAATGTGCCTTAATGAAGAAAAGTTCTTAATTTTAATTTAGCTGAATTTATTAACCTTTTTTATTATGATCAATTATTTTATGCCTAAGAAATTCTTTCCTGCCCCAAGTTCAAAATACCTGCACTTATATTTTCTCACAACTTAAACTTTTGTTTTTGATGTTTAAATTCTTTATCCATATGAAGTTGTGTGTGTGCGCGTGTGTGATAACAGATCCATTTCCTTTACGTTTTTTTTTCCAAACGGTTAACCAATTTTTTCAAGCTTTATTTGTTGAACAGATCCCATTTCTGTAGTAAGCTGCCATGCCATCTCTATCATGTCAAAGTTCTTCATCTGCATGCATCTATTTTGGGCCACTCTCTTTTTTTTTTTTTTTTTTTAGACAGGGTCTCGCTCTATCTTCCAGGCTGTGATGTGATCATGGCTCACCACAGCCTCAACCTACCAAGCTCAAGCAATCCTCCCATTTCAGACTCCCAAGTAACCAGGACTACAGGTGTGCGCCACCATGCCTGGATAATTTTTGTGTTTTTTGTAGAAACAGGGTTTTGCCATGTGCCCCAGGCTGGTCTTGAACTTCTGGGCTCAAGAGATCTGCCTGCCTCAGCCTCCCAAAGTGTTGGGATTACAGGCATGAGCCACCATGCCCAGCCTCGGGCCACTGTCTTCTATTTCTTGGTCATGTTGTCTATCCCTGAACCAGCACCCTACAGTTTTCTAGATTTTTAATAAACCTTTGTATTTCTGAAGAAACACCCTGCTTCGTATAGTTCTTTAGCATTGCTTTAGATATTCTTGGCCTTTTGTTCTTCCATATAAATTTCAGAACCAATTTATTAGGTTACCAAATGTCTTTTTAGATTTTTATTTAAATCATATTAATTCCATGGCTCAATTTTGGGATAATCAGTTTTTTAAAAAAATTAAGGATTCTACAGGAGTCAGACAATCTTAAGATCTCTTGCAAGTTCCAACATTTACTAGATGTGTGACCTTTAATAAATGACAGTTTTTCTAAATCTATTCTCTTCATTTGTAAAGTGGGTATTTCATATGAAGGTACAGGTAAAGTACCTACAACACCACTAAATGCCTGGTGGACAAACAACAAATAATTTTTATCATTTTCACCAATAGTGTTGCAATCTAATGAAAACAATATTACTTGTAAATAATGAGCCACAATCATGGTTACACAATAAATTGATAATTGAAATGAATTGAACACATTTAAAAATAAATTAATTAAGACTTCTTATCTCTGAACATGATGTCTCTCTACATTAATTTAGAAGATTATCTTTGGTAGCTTTCAGTCAAGTATTTTTTTTTTACTTCCTTCATAAAGATCTTGCAAATCTTTTGTTGTGTGTCAATGACATCTGCTCTCAGGGTTTAAACATAAATGCAGAATATTTAGGCTCTAGGGATTGAAAACTGTCAAGAGAATCTATAAAAATTTACTTTCTGGAGTTGTTTTTTTTTTTTTTTAATTTTCACTTTGTTTTTGAGACAGGGTCTCCCTCTGTCACCCAGGGTGGAGTGCAGTGGCGCCATCTCAGCTCACTGCAGCCTCAGCCTCCCTTTAATCCGGTGATCTCCAGAATAGCTGGACAACAGACGCATGCCACCATGCCCGGCTAATTTTTATATTTTTTGTAGAGACGGGGTTTCACCACGTTGCCCAGGCTGATCTTGACCCCCTGGGCTCAAGCGATCCACCCTTCCTGGCCTCCCAAAGTGCTGAGATTACAGGTGTGAGTCACCATGCCCAGCCACTTTCTGGAGATTTTAAAGAAACGTTTTAGGGAAGTGTAACATATATACAGAAGAGTAAATGTATAAAAACTGTATAGCTTGATTATCACACAATAAACACATCCATATAAAAAATAAAACATCACCAACACCCCAAAGATTCCCTCATGTCCCCTGTCAGCTACTACCCTACACCCCTCCACAGGTACCTCCTGTCCTAATAAATAGTAACCTTTTGAACACTGTGTTAGGAATTGTTTGTAGCTGGCAAGTAGAAGCACTAACTCTGGTATACCCTGCCATCTTGTTAAGCTTTTCTATTTATTAAATCATTCGTCTCTGTGTATTCACAGGTGAAAGAAATAAGGTTTAGATGGTGAGGCATTCTGCTCAAATCCGGGCTGTATATCAGAGAAGAGCAGATTTGAATGGTGGTCTTATCGATTTTATTCTGTTTTGCTAAATTATCTACTTTGTATTTTTCACTGAAGTTAGGCAGAAATTCAGAATCCTGGTTTCTGTTTCTCAAGAGGCATATGTACATGAAACTTTGTTCTGCCCTTATTTTGAGTTCCTCTGCCTGCTGGAGGACAAAGCTTCAGCTAGATCCGCAGCAGGAAGTGCCTGTGAGAACAAGAAATTTGTAGTCCCAACAACATGCAGTGGTTAACCTGGGATAAATCACTAAAGATGCTATGAGGCTTCTTTTATTGTGCCTGCCTTCTATTTTAGAGAGACCCATATTCGGGAAATGCCTTTCTGCCTGGTGAAAGCTCCAGTGAGGATGAGGAGCCTTTAGCAGAATTGTCAAAGGAAGAATTGTGCGCCAAAATAAAAAGCCTGAAAGAAAAACTAACAAACACCCGGAAAGAGAACGGCCGACTTCGACAGTCTTTGGTCATGCTTCAAGGTAAACGTTGAAAAAATTGACATTTTAGATAAAAGGGAAAGTATATCATCATTGGAAAGTATTGCAAATTAGCTGTCAAGAATAAAAAAGAAAATCCATACCTCTGGGAACTCAAAACTCACAGTTTTAGAAAAAAATCACTGATTATATAATTTAAACACAGAAGCACTCTATTGAAAGATCTAGCTTATGGCTCAAAAAATTTTAGATTCTCCTACAAAACACTAAATATTGTATTCATTTAATAGTGTTTAAGAGACATTTATTGAGCATTTAATATACGCCACTCACACTGCTAAGCCCTAGAGAGAAAACATTGTTAAGACAGAGCAAACATGTTAAGGTGCCCATGATGTGCTTAGGTCACCCCTCTCTGCTAGGGAAATCTCTAGAAAATGGAACTTATTGTGATTCTTCATGAAATCACTGGAATTAGAGTCCATAGAGTACATCTTCATTTTTTTCTGTTAGGAAGAGTGACTTGGGAAAACAATAGCGTTCCACTGGAAAAATATAAAGAAGAAAACTCACCACAAAATACTCCAGTGTCTGGGGGAAAAAATGAAAAAAGGAGAAAGAAGCATAAGCAAATTAAAAACTACTTGGCTTAATGCCTTTTTGTAGGATCCTATGTGATGTTCATGTGTTTATTTTTTCAAAAATTATGCTTTCCATTTGTAGTTAAGCACTATACATTATTTTATACAGCTGAATATTTTGTAATTAGGATACTATGTTGGCAGCACTCAGTTGTAAAACAGTAAATACACAGAACATTTTGAAAATAAGTCCTTCCAGTTGCTGTGCACAGAATGAGTACAAGTGGTACAAGAAAGTGAGGCAGAACCACCAGAAAGGCCGTACAATCATCCAGTCTCACATAGTAGCAGCCTACCCTACAACAATGGCTTATGAAAATAAAGAGAGTGGGCCGGGCGCGGTGGCTCAAGCCTGTAATCCCAGCACTTTGGGAGGCCGAGACAGGCGGATCACGAGGTCAGGAGATCGAGACCATCCTGGCTAACACGGTGAAACCCCGTCTCTACTAAAAAATACAAAAAACTAGCCGGGCGAGGTGGCGGGCGCCTGCAGTCCCAGCTACTCGGGAGGCTGAGGCAGGAGAATGGCGTGAACCCGGGAGGCGGAGCTTGCAGTGAGCTGAGATCTGGCCACTGCACTCCAGCCTGGGTGACAGAGCGAGACCCCGTCTCAAAAAAAAAAAAAAAAATTAGCATGAATTGCTAATTAAAAGCATTAATCTTGGAGCTATAGACCTTGGCGTGAAGCCCAACTTTGCTTTAAAACTTTGGCCATATTATTTCACTGTGCCCTTATCCCCCACTGCAATTTCCTCATCCAAAAAGCAGAGGAAAGCCATATATGACTTCCTTGTGGCTATGAGAATTGAATGAGTGAATTAGTAGAAATGCTTTACCCAGTACCTGGCACAAGAGAAGAACTCAGCAATGGTAGTTATTATTGCTGTTATATATTTTTATTGACACCTGACACATAATCCATTCCCAAAAAAAACTGTAGGCTAAATTTCATTATAAATATAGAAGAGAAAATTTTAAATAAAGAGTACCAATCAGCTTCAATAGCATATGAAAATAATCACTTACTATGACCAGTTTCTTTTCTCTCCCAGGGTCCAAATTGCCATTTCATTTTCTTCTCTTTCTGCCAATTCCCAGTCTTCTTAACTCTCAGGTGATGGCTTTACTTCTTACTTCGCTGAGAAGTAGGAGGATATGAAGCCACTGCCATCTCCCCACACCTGTGCTTCTGTACCCCCTTTACTTCCTCTTATTCATGAATAACCTATCCTTGTGAGTCTCAATCTCCTTCAGTGCACCAGATCCCATCCCCTTTTTTGTAATCAGGAACATTGCTCCAGAGATTCTGCCCCGTCTCCTGCAAGATTAGATTTTCCTTCTCTAATGAATCATTCCCATTAGTATCAAACATACTGTTATTTCTCCCATTTAAAAAAACCTCACTTTCAGACCATTTGCTTCTCTACCTTCTGTTTTTCTCCTTCCTCTTATGGAAAAACTCCTTAAAAGTCTTGACTATACACACTCTATTCAGTTTCCTCCCTGTTATTCTTTCTGGATCCCACTCCAATTAGATCCTTTAATTTCATTGTAATTTCTCTTCTCATGATCATCAGTCATCTCCATGTATTAGCTTGCTAGGGCTACAGTGACAAAGTACCAAAAACTAGGTGGCTTAAACCACAGAAATTTATTCTCTCACCAGTCTCGAGGTTGGAATTATAAACTCAAGGTGTCAGCAGGGCCATACTCCCCCTGCAGGTGCTAGGAAGAATCTGTTCAGGCTTCTCTCCTAGCTTCTGATTGTTCCTTGAATAAATCAGCATAACCCCAGTCTTCACAGGATGTTCTCCTTGTGTGCTTCTCTCTCTGTATCTAAACCTCTCCCTTCGTATAAGAACACCAGTCGTATTATATTAGGGCCCACCCTAATGACCTCATTTCAACTCAATTACATCTGTAAAAACCCTATGTCCAAATAAGATCACATTCTGAGGTAATAGGGGTTAGTCTTCTGACACATCTTTTTGGGGGACACAGTTCAATCATGATATTCTGCATTGCTAACCTCAATAGTCATTTATCAGTTGTCATCTTAAGTGTCCTGTTACCAGCATTTTGACACATTTGGACAACTCTCTGTCCTTGAAAAAGGTTCTTTACCTGCTTTCCAGGATACCAAATTCACCAGCTTTCCTCCCATATTGTTGGTCTTTCCATCTTACTCCATTTAGCTGATTCATTATCTCATCCTCTAAGTATTTTATGATTCCCCTGGCTCCTTACTTGGACTTTTTTCTTTTCTATCTGCATTCATTCTCTAGATGACCGACTCCAATAATATGGTATAAATATCCATCAATGAGGCTGGGCGCAGTGGCTCACACCTGTAATCCAGCACTTTGGGAGGCCAAAGCGGGTGGATCACTTGAGACCAGGAGTTTAAGACCAACCTGGGCAACGTGACGAAACTCCATCTCTACTCAAAATACAAAAATTAACCAGGCATGGTATTGCACGCCTATGGTCCCAGCTACCTGGGAGGCTGAGGCACAAGAATTGCTTGAACCCGGGATATGGAGGTTGCAGTGAGCTGAGATTACACGACTGCACTCCAGCCTGAGCAACACAGTGAGACTCTGTAAAAAAAAAAAAAAAAACACACACACATACACACACACATACAAAAATCAGTGAGCTATGCTTGTCAGATTTCTATCTCCTGCCTGGGCCTCTTTAACTCATTGTCTAACTGAATGCTTGACATGACTGATAGGCTAACATGTTTCAAACCACATTCCTTACCTCCCTCAACCTGTTTCTTTCTTCCTCATCCTAGCTAATGTTAATTTCATTGTTCAAGTTCCTTAAGCCAGAAACTATGATGTTATCTTCATGTTATCTTCTATTTCTGTATTTATTTTACACCCCACACTCCGTCCATTAGCAAATCCCACTAGCTTTGCCTTCAAAATATTTCTGAAACTCAATCCCTTTTACCACCCCTACTGCTGCTACTCTGGTCCTAGCCACCATTACCTCTCATCTATAATTAAGGTGGCATTGTAACTTGCATTGCTACTTCTGTTCTTGTTCCTATGAGGTCTATTCTCAACACAGCAGTGAGAATGATTCTGTTAAATGTAAACCAGTTCATGTCCTCCTGTGCTTAAAACTCTCCAGTGAATTCGTACCTCATTCAGTATAGAAATTAAAGTCCTTTTATGATCTTTGGTTCCTTACATGATCTGGCCACCTCCCCTCCACTTACTTCTCTGGCCTTGTTTTCTACTCCTCATCCTCTCCTTCTCTGTGATCCAGACAACTGGACCACTTACTTTCCCTCCGAAGACATCAGGCATGATCTTATCTTCAGTGTCTTTGTGCTTTCCATCCCCTCTGCCCAGAATGTTCTTCCTCCAGTTATCTATAGACCTTGAACCCCCACTTCTTTCAGATCTTCACTGCTAATTCAACTTTTCCCTGATCTTCCTCCCATCTAAAGTTTCAACCTTTCGTCTCCCAGTTTATATTATCTTCCCCTGTTTTGTTTCCTTTTTGGCACTTGCAAGTCTGTGTAATCTACTATGTATTTAATATTGTCTATCTCCACATGTCCCCACCACATACACACACACTAGAATTTAACCCTGGAAACGAAGTAGTAAAGTTGGCAATTGACTGGACTTGTGACAACAGAAGTCAGGAATTGCCTACTGTCACTGCAGTGTTCATTTCTGCATTTATTCATTTTATTTATTTATTTTTTGAGACGGAGACTCACTCTGTCTCCCACGCTGCAGTGCAGTGATACGATCTCGGCTCACTGCAAGCTCTGCCTCCTAGATTCATGCCATTCTCCTGCCTCAGCCTCCTGAGTAGCTGGGACTACAGGCGCCCACCACCATGCCTGGCTAATTTTTTGTATTTTTAGTAGAGACGAGGTTTCACCGTGTTAGCCAGGATGGTCATGATTTCCTGACCTCGTGATCCGCCCATCTCCGCCTCCCAAAGTGTGCGGGGATTACAGGCCTGACCACCGCACCCAGCCCATTTATTCATTTAGTAAATATTTATAAAGTCCCTACTATGCGAAAGGGGCTATTCTAAGTACCTAGGAAACTCAATGGACAAAACAGTCAAAGATTCACGCTTTCATGGAGTGTGTGTGTGTGTTTGTGTGTATGTGTGGCAAGAGGGGATGGTTAAAAAACATACAAAAGATAATTAAGTAAATTATATAGTATGTTGGATGGTGAAAGGTGCTTTGGAAAAAATAGAGGCTGCAAAAAAGGATTACGTTTTGAGGGAGAGGGAGTGGCTTATAATGTTAATGGCATGGTCATAGCAGGCCTTCTTGTAAAGCTGCAGTTGGAACTAGGAAGATAACAGAAAGTTGAAATCTCTTGTATAATACTATTAAGAAAGGGGTCTAAGGGA